GGAAAGAAATAACATCTCTATGGTTTCCCAAATTGACTGTTTGTGTTATAACATCAAGCTGTGCCAAGTCTGCCAAGGACTTTGGAAATAAATATTTTGTTGATGTTCCTATCTTGACTGGCATCAGTTGCTGAAAGTATTGAGTTATTGCTTCAAAGAAAGACCCCCCAGCAGTTCGCCCAGATAAAGAGAGAAGCACATCTTAGTTTTAACGTTATAGCGTCTGGGTGTGATGGCACAATTATGTTTGTTTCTTATTTTATGCAATTTTCAATTCACGCAGAGCTAGATCTGATTCAGAAAAATGAACAAACAGTAAGTGGTACTTTCCTTCTCTGAACTGTAATGCAAAGAGATAGGAAATTGTTGGAGGTTTGGGGAGACTTGCACTTGGAAATCAGGAGAGTAGACTTATGGATGGCAGATTATAACGCAACTACATTATCATTTATAAGATTATTTTTATTAGATTCCAGTCTCGGATCGCTGAAGGCTGTGCTCTATAACCCTGTCCTTCGAAAATAGGTTTTTAAAAAGCTTTGAAGTCTCATTGTAGCTTCACTCCTCTTTGGCCCGAGAATAATTCATTTGACTATGAGCCCTACACAGTGATTCCACTTTAACTGCCATGACTACATCCTATGGAATCCTGTGAGGTGGATTTGTAGTTTGATGAGACACATGAGATCTTCGACTGAAAATCCTAAGTATCTCTCTTCCCAGTTGCAAATCCCAAGATTCCCTAGCATGTTGTCATGATAGCTAGATGGGAATCATGGTGCTATCATTGTCCCAAGCACCGTAGTTTCCTTTGTATGCTGCATATTTCTCCTTTTTCCTGTTCATCACAACAATTGTGAATGCTTTATACTGAAGTTCCAGTATTCACCAACAGTGGAAAAGCAATAATAATTCCTAGTGAAGCTACTATATGAACACAGACTTGGAAATGCCTTAGGACCATTAGAAGCTGCCTTACAGTAAGTTAGACTATCTCTCTTGCCTTGTATTTTGGTCCCAAAAGGCATTTCAATGAATATGGAATATAGGGTACGAATCTCCCCTTATGAACCTGTGAGGACTTTAAGATCATCTGGAGAGGCCCTGCTCTTGGTCCCGCCATCATCACAAGCACGGTTGGCGGGAACGAGAGACAGGGTCTACTCAGTGGTGGCCCCTTGGTTATGGAACTCCCTTCCTAGGGAGATTAGATCGGCTTCTTGGCTCCTATCATTCCAAAAGCATCTTAAGACATGGCTTTTTGAGCGGGCATTTGAAAATATGGAGTAATTGATATAATAACGGAATAACTACATGGCGGAACTGGATATTGTTTTAAGGGATATCGATTGAAGTATGTTTTATTATAATGGTTGATTTTATTGTTGCTAATGTTTTTATATTGTATATTGTAATCGTGTCCTTGGTGGCATTGAACTCTTGCTTTGTAAACCACCTCAAGTCGCTGGAAGGCTGAGAGGGGCAGTACAGAAATGTACTAAATAAAATAAATAAATAAATAGGGTAGCAGTTCCTCCCCACAATTTTAAGCAAGGTCTTTTTGGAAATACAGTGGACAGAAAGCTTAGGGCTTTGTGTACCTCAAAATGTGTCATCTACACCTGAAGTATAACTCATATACTTCAAGAGTTCAATGAGTAAATCATAAATATAGCCATGTGTAAACTGACACTGAGAGTATACATTACTTGGAATTTTGTCCAAATGAAATAAACATTTCTTCCTGAAAGATCTCAGAATCTTAAGGTACAAATGTAATAATTTGACCTTCTCACCCTAAACTGTTTGGCAGGGTTCAAGTAATGTATACTGTTGTAAGCCCTCCAAATCTGTTCATTGGGAACTCGGTTTATTCTTTCTTCTCTCTGTGTTTCGCTTTTTCTTAAGAACATTTCTGTAATTACCACTTTGCTTTTCCCGTGGTGTTGACCGAGGAAGGAAAGCACATCAAATTTCACTCCCAGGAAGCTTTTCTAGCTCTTGTAATGTGAATAGCCTGAATCCTACTTGCATTTGTTGATTTGACCTGAAGTCACTTCTATATTCAGCCCAGTGTAGCATGCCATTCTGCTTGAAGCCTAATAACACCCATTTAGGGGACTGTGGCATTCCTGATTCATGAAAACATGTAATGTGTGCCGTCTACAATTACATCAGCTTCATTTTACTGATGTATTACGTTGCAGGCTCGTAATTAACTCCATGGTGCTATTTGTCCATTAGCCGCTGTTATAGCATATTATATCTAACGTATGATTTCAGCCTTGCATAAAATTATAAAGCAAATAAAAATAGGTGTGCATCACCCACCCTGAGTGTAAAGTACACCGATGCCTGATCTTTTCTGTGCTTATTGAGAAGCGCCTGCAATGAAAAGTGTGCATGAACATACGGTTACACAGAATGTCCCGTGAGCTTAAAGTGATTTACCCAAATTATTGTGTACCTATGGTTAACCAAAGATTTTACCAACTTCTCTTAAGACAGAAGCCAGTTTTTAATCTTGACACAGACACTTTCTTTAGTTGATGATATAATGGAAACTACCAGTATTAAAAACTCTAAAATTATAACTGTAAATAAAGAACAACACTCAAACACAGGGGAACTCCAGACAAGAAACAATCAGGGACAGCTAATCACCTCTCAACAAAGGATTCCCCCAGGCAGTAATAAGCCACACCTAAAAATTGTCCGGCCATCAAATGCTAATCAAGGTGGTCAATTGAAACATTCACACCTAGCTCCAACAGACAAGAGTTCTTTCTCCCACCCTGGACTTTCCAATTTTCCTAGTTTCCAACAGACCTCACAACCTCTGAGGATGCCTTCCATAGATGCAGGTGCAACGTCAGGAAGGAATGCTTCTAGAACATGGCCATACAGCTTGAAAAACCTTCAACAATCCATTGTGAAAACCATTGGCACTTTCAAATAATAGAAAGAAGAATAATAAAATAATAAACTTCATTTATACTTTGCCACCATCTCCCCAATGGGGACTTGGGGTGGCTTACATGAGGCCAACATATTACAGCAAAATAAAACCAAAACATAAGCAACAAACAACAGCATAAAAATTACATTAAAAACATATGAATACAATAACAAAATAACATTCCAATAAACAAAATCACAGTGACAGTGTGCAGGGTAAAATGTTAAAAGACTTGAATAAGATAAGAACAGGAGCAAGTTATTTGCAGGGAGCTCATAAAGAAACACAGAAAGAAGGATTCTGGTAGTTGTAATCTAAAAATAACTTAGAAGAATCGTCCACCTTGTGTGACTATGGAGCAGAACAAACAATTCTGCACCTGTATGCTTGCCCACAGTGCCCTGCCTCATGCACAGAGGAAGAATTGTTTAAATTTATAGACAATGCGGTTGCTGTTGCCCGTTTTTGGTCAAAAATTATTTATCCGTTTGTTCTCCCTCTATTTTATCAATTATATACTTATTTATGGAATGCTTTTGACACAAAATAAATAAATAAATCTAAAAACACTTTGAGTCAAGTGGGCAGAAGGCTTGCATTGCTGCCATGATTGTTGAAATTATTCTTTGTTAAATAATGCCAATGGGTTGGATCCAGATTTACTCATACATAGAGTAGAAATATGGAAATACTGTAAATGGGATTTAAGTGAGTCTTCCCAGTAGACTCAAATCAAGGGAAAGTTTCATGAGAAACATAATTCCTCTTAATGTTCTCCCAGCAACAGCAAGAGTATCCATCTGGGCAATTAAACCAGGCAATGCCAAATGGATGGCCCCTTATGAGAGTCTGCCTCCAGGGGCAAACCAAGAATGGGCAACTTGGAAGTCCCTGAACAGACTCGGAAGTGGTGTTGGGAGATCAAAAAATAACCTGGCAAAATGGCATTACTTAGAAGAATCCTCCACCTTGTGCAGCTGTGGAGCAGAATGAATAACTCTGCATATGTATGCTTGTCCACAGTGCCCTACCTCATGCACAGAAGAAGAACTCTATAAAGCTACAATGTGGTCGCGGTTGCCCATTTTTGATCTAAAATCATTTAACCACTTGTGTTCCCTCTAGTTTATCATTTTTATACTTGTTTATTGATGCAATGCTTTTGACATAAAATAAATAAACTTAAGTATCCTTAGTTGTTATGGACCTGCTCTAACTATTACCATGTTCAGGTCCAGCCCATAAGTTGCTAGTTTTTATTTGTCCGTGTTAGATATCCCTTATACCAGGGGTCCTCAAACTTTTTAAACAGAGGGCCAGGTCACAGTCCCTCAAACTGTTGGAGGGCCGGATTATAATTTGAAAAAAAAATGAATGAATTCATATGCACACTGCACATATCTTATTTGTAGTGCAAAAATACTTAAAAATAATACAATAATTAAAATGAAGAACAAATTTAACAAAAATAAACTTATTAGTATTTCAGTGGGAAGTGTGGGCTGTTTTTGGCTGATGCAATAGGATTGTTGTTGTTGTTGTTGTGTGCTTTCAAGTCATTTCAGACTTAGGTTGGCCCTGAGCGAGGGCCGGGTAAATGACCTTGGAGGGCTGTATCCGGCCCCAGGGCCTTAGTTTGAGGACCCCTGCCTTATACAAAATGCTTGGAACCAGTGTTTTGAATTTCAGAATGTCTGCACAATGAGCTATCTTGGAGATGGGACACAAAGCTAAACACTACATTCACTGAAGCTTCATATATTCCTTATACACATAGCCTGGAGTGTCATTTTATATAGAACATTTTAAATAATTTTGTGCATGAAACAAAGTTTGTGTACATTGAACCAAAGCAAAAGTGTTGCTATCTCAGCCACCCATGTGGGCAGTTTTGGAGTATTTCAGATTTCCAGATAAGCAGTGCTCAACTGGTAATGAGTTAATTTCACTTTTGTGTCAGGAAACATATATGTATGTTAATGAAAAGTAAACATTGCTGGGCTGTCAGAGTGATTTATCAATGCTTCCTCTTCTTGCAAAGGAAACAATGCCGGTGGAAAGAATGCGAATGCGGCCATGGCTAGAGGAACAAATACACTCGAACAAAATACCGGGTTTGAAATGGCTAAATGAGGTAAGACCTGTCTGTATTTTTTAACAGGGAAAACAAGCCAGAATGAAAAAAAGCCCAGTTCTTTTATCATTATGATATGGGGCTATATGGAAAATGATCTGGTGTATAGTCCTGTTTTGCAGGGCAGAGGCAAGCCAGTTCTCTGGTTCAGATGTAATCATTAAAAAGAGCTTCCTACCAGCCAGGAAAGTAAACAGTGGAGGATAGACTTCCTTGCTGGAATAAAGGATAGGGCTTCTGTCCCTTTAATGTTATGTATTTATTTACCATATTTCTATCCCGCCCTATCTCACTCCCAAAGGGGGACTCAAAGAGGCTTACAACTTGGCACAATTTGATGCCACATCAAACATAAACATGACAGATTATAAATACATTAAACTTTCAATCATTACACATAAAGCAATCACATATAAATACAATTAAATCTGGCCCAGCTTACCTATCTGAACGTATCTCTCCTTATGAACCATCTAGGAACTTAAGATTGTATGGGGAAGCCCTGCTCTCGATCCCGTCTTCTTCGCAGGCATGGTTGGTGGGGAACGAGAGACAGGGCCTTCTCAGTGGTGGCCCCTCGGCTGTGCAATTCCCTTCCTAGGGATATTAGATCAAGCCCCTCCCTCCTGACTTTCCAGAAAAAAGTAAAAACCTGTCTCTTTGAACAAGCTTTTGGAACTGCAGAGTAATGGATAAACACAGTACTATGAAAGAGTGAACATGGAATGGCTTAAAACAATGCTAATCGAAAATGAGTTAACTGGAGGATATTGATGATTATAGGTTTAATGGTTTTATATGGATTTTTATTATGCTATGTTAAATGTTTTTAATTGTATTTATGACTGTTTTGGCATCGAATTGTTGCCAATTTTGTAAGCTGCCTTGAGTCGTCTTCGGGCTGAGAAAGGTGGGATAACAATATTGTAAATAAATAAAATCAAAATTTAAAAACAGCAGTTAAAACAATCACATAGTCCGTAATCAGAATCCATGAGCCATTCCAGTTACAGTCACGTTGATTCCCAGCTGTCTATTGCATTGTAGCTAGTCCCCGAATGCCTGGCTTCAAAGCCAGGATTTTACTTGTTTTCAAAATGTCAGGAGAGAGGAAGCTGATCTCACATTTATTTATTTTATTTATTTACTCTATTATGTCCCGCCTTTCTCTACCCCGAGGGAGACTCAAGGCGGCTTACATAGAGACAATTATTCAATGCCTTAAAACACAGACAATTCAAAAAAATTAAAATTAGATTAAAATTAAAGCATATTACACAGTTAAAAACATTCCATTCCATATTAAAATGATGCCATCCATAGTCATAGTCCAAGCCATTCCATAGTCATCACTAGGAAGGGAGTTCCACAGTCGAAGGGCCACCACTGAGAAGGCCCTGTCTCTCGTCCCCATCTGCACCTGCGATTGAGGTGGGACCGAGAGCAAGGTCTCCCCAGATGATCTTAACGTCTGGCCTGGTTCATAGGGAGAGATGCGTTCGGACAGGTAAGCTAGGCCAGAACTGTTCAGGGCTTTATAAGCTAAAGCCAGCACTTTGAATTGTGCTCGGTAGCAAATTGGTAGCCATTGGAGATGACGTAACAGGGGGGCTGTGTGCTCCCTGTATGCCACTCCAGTTAGCAATCTGGTTACTGCACATTGCCCTACTTGAAGCTTCCAAACAGTCTTCAAAGGCAACCCCACATAGAGTGCATTGCAGTAGTGTATACGAGATGTAACAAGAGTGTGGGCTACCGTGGCCAAGTCTGGCTTCTCAATGTTAGTGTGAAAGAGGGACTTTTTAGCAAATGACAACCTTGTTGAAATTCTCTCTTCTAAATAAACATTTAATGGAGAAGAGCCTTGTATCGTATGTCGCCTGGCAACTCTAAAAAAGGATCAATGAAGAATGAAGATAAGGAGCTGTGTTTGTTTGAGGATTCTGGGACATGTCATTCAAAAACTTTGAACACTTTTCCTGGCTTCAATATTTCAAACTTTAAGTGAAACAACTCATCGCCATGAGTATTCTATTATTCATGGTTTTGTGGGATATTTTAAATGGATTAATCTAGTTTGGTAACCTCATCCAACTTCTAGAGGCCATGAGTTGTCAATTACTAAGACATATATTTTATTTTTATAGCCTGACCTATTCTGAGGACAGTAAGAACAGCCGTTTTTCAATTATGTCACTCTGTTTGTCTCCAAGGGGAAGGAACTGAAATGTTTAGAAGAGGCCAACAGAATTTTAAATGTTTTCCTGAAATGACAGCATTCCACATACAATAGTTGCTCTAAATATTGGAAACCTTTTGCAGTCCTAGAAACAAATACTAGGAATCACGTATGGTCTCAATACCCACAAAAACACTAAGCATTTTTAGCGTTTTGTTTCATTTTAATTACTGCTGTTTAGTCATTGATTTGGCATTCAAAGGGAAAGATGGAGCCAGAAAGTTAGCATGTGACAGAAAATATGCACAGAATGTACAGCTGGACTCTGCTTTATCAAGTAAAGAGATTTGAGGACAATCCCTGTGTTAATTGTTGCTGTCATTCATTTCCTGTTTTGTTTTTGGGAATTTTCAGGAAAAGAAGATTTTTCAAATTCCTTGGATGCATGCAGCACGTCATGGGTGGGATGTTGAAAAGGACGCCCCCTTGTTCAGGAACTGGGCCATTCACACAGGTAAAGAAGCTCATGCGTATGAGGCAAGTGTGTGGCAGGGCGTGCCTGTTGTCTTTTCTTGATCCTAGTAATACCATTTTCTATTTTGCCTTACTGTTTGGTCATCCTGACTGTTGCCTGATGAGAATTGCAGCAAGCACATGGGCTCTTAACAGCTGCAGGCACTTCCCCTATTCTGTAAAGCAGAGGAAGTAAATCCAGACACACATTCTTTTGCTTTCATGGAGCTGTCTTGTGATTCAGAGATGTTTTTACAGATAAACATGGACTATAGCTGAGCAAGTTGACGGGCATGTCATGCACAAACATAGTTTATTTATGCTTAACATATGTGTATTGTTATTGTTGTTATTATTCACGGTAGTCCACGCTCTAGTTACATACTGTATAGACTACTGTAATGCACTCTACGTGAGGTTGCCTTTGAAGACTGTTCAGAAGCTTCAAATGGTCCAACGGATGACAGCCAGATTACTAACAGGAGTGGCGCTCAGGGAGCATACAACTCCTCTGTTGCACCCGCTCCACTGCCTGCCAGTCTGCTACTGGGCACAATTCAAAGTGCCGGCTTTGAATTGCCCTAAAAAGCCCTAAACAGTTCTGGCCCAACTTACCTGTCCGAACGTATCATCCCTTGTGAACCTGCTAGGACTTTAAGGTCATCCGGGGAGGCCCTGCTCTCGATCCCGCCTGTGTCACAAACACGTTTGGTGGGGACGAGAGACAGGGCCTTCTCAGTGGTGACCCCTTGGCTATGGAACGCCCTTTCTGGGCACATTAGATCTTAATATTTCGGAAAAGAGTCAAGACTTGGTTGTTTGAATAAGTGTTTGAAAATGCAATGCAAAAGACATAGGAACTTGGAACAACTGGATGACGAGATGGGACAACATTTTTATTAGTCAGACTTGGCCACAGTGGTCCACGCTCTCGTTACA